GGGTCCTCCGCCCTTTCTCTGGGGTGATTCCTGAAGTTCTGCTTGCTCTATGGATGTTTCCTCAGTCCACTGCCCGAATCAGCGACACCTTTGAGCTCCACCCTGTGCGCATGTGCATCGCCAGTCATTCACATGCCTTTGCAACTCTGACCTTCTCACCACAGACCATGCAAACCTACCAGTGTATTTTTGAGGCTTCAGTTGATGCAGTGCCCAGGTAATTCCAACATGGCTGGTGGAGAGGGCACACCCTTGGGCTGTTTCTTAGATCTGCACATAAGAACAATGCTTTTTCTTGGCTTTCAGTGTGGTTGCCAAATCAAGAGCTCTATCCTTTGAAGTCACTGGAGATGGCAGCCTTCCTCGAATCACCATTGTGCGCCCTGTTCTCCGCAATAAGAAGGGGAGCCCACTCCTCCTCTTCAGGAAGCTCCTGTTAGGTCACATGGAGGCACTCCCCCTTGTCCTTAAAAACAGCGGCAGCCTGTTAGTCCAGGTAGTGAACAGTGGGGACGACAAATACCCAAAAAGTAATTGCAGACTGGCAAGGGTATCTCGAGGTGGGAAATCTGTAGAGCAGCATTGTGGCAAAGAAAATGTTCTCTCTGCCACCTTCCCTTGCTCTCAGTTATTTGTGCTGCTCACGAACTTCCACATCTTTGAGAGCTGCCATATTTCCAGTGATCCGAAAACAAGTGCAGCTGAGATGGGGGTGGGTGGGCAGAAGGACAGGGCAGACAAAGGAGAGGGGGCCTCCTGGGGAAATCCAGTATCCCTGATGTAGCCCACAGGATGCTGATTGAAATCAGAGCCGTGGAAAGCTTTTTCAGAATCAATGTCTGCCCTAAAAACTTTTGGATGCTGAATAACTATGGAGAGAATGCCTGGCAGTTGTTGCACAGCAGTGTGAGATACCATTCTCCTAGGACTCATTCTGGTGTATTTATGTTTGCATTGTTCCTTTTCACAGTTGTACCTTGATATGTCAGATGACAGTGGTGCTTTCACCCTGAAGCCCAGGCCCACCACTCAGTGCATTTATGTGTCTTCTCAGAATGAGGAGAATGAACCCAGTGATGGAGGTAAAGGCCGCATCTTTTGTCTGGCAAGAGCTCGGTCTTGGTGGGCTGGTGGTTGGGAATGGGGGAATGGGGGCAGTGTGTTAGTGCAATACCAGCTGTCTTTTAGCACCTGCAACTCCATGCTATAGCACAAGGGAATTATTTTCACATGCTTACCATTCATACTTACTCTTTCCTTTGCATCTTTATCATAGTCCGAAAACCACACACAGCTTCCTTGGTCCTGCACAACGGGGAGTCAGCTGAGTTTGATGTGATTTTCCAGCCTAGCTTGGCCCAGCGGGTTGAAGGGCTGATCCACCTCTCTATCGTGGACAACCAGTATGAGGAAACCAGCATCCAGCTTATTGGCGAAGGCTACCAGGATAATGTCACACTAGACAATATTCATAGCCCGGTGGCAGAGACTGATACAGAAAACTTTGAGGGGCAACTGGATGAGAACACAGGAGAGGGTGAGTGAACCTGGAGAAACTGCAGAATGTGTGGAAAGCAGGTGTGTGAAAGGCCCTTCTCATTCCCAGAGGCTTGCAGGACAAAGCAGTGGGTGCAGAATGTTTGCTCTTTTTCTGCAGCTGTGAGGATAGAACATATCCAGTTTGGAGACTGCCACATTGGGAAGCTGTATCAAGCAGCGTTCACAGTCACAAATCACAGCAAGTCTGATGTGATGAGATTTGAATGGCCTGCTTTGGGCTCATGTCAGTGCTCCCCACAGGTAAGCTTGTCCCCTCCTTTCGATTGCCCTTAGCTGCCAAAGTGCCCCCAAACCAAATGGGATGTATAACTTTTACAGGCTCCACTTGCCACATCGGGATTTTCCACTTTAAGTACTGGGAGTGATCAGTGCCATCATGTGGTCCAACATTTGGGGCCTATTTAGGGAAGGGGGGAAAGTTGCCTCTTAAGCCCCACTTAGGGAAAACTGAGGGGAATCAAGGTTTTTAAGATATAAGATGTCCAGGCACCTATTTTGACTACTTTTATTGGAACACAGATCAGAACATTTTGGTTCCATCCATTTGGGGTGGAGGCCACAAATGAGGTGCTGCGGTTCCATACGTCCATTCCTGATTTGATGTGTTTCCTGTTATGTCACTCAGCAATTTTTTATTTTTGCAGAGGGATTATTTGTTTTTCAAGTACAGCTTGAGAGCGTATGGTACTTCTTTCTAGATAAGAAAGTATTTTGGAAGTGCAAGGGCAAACCACTTCCAGACTGTTTCCAAGAAAAATAGATGAATGTGTCTGTGAAGTCACCAGGAGTCAAGTATGTCTATTTCCATTTTTCCTTGATTCTCAACATCTTGTCAGTCTCTAATGTTTGAATACTCTTCTCTACAGGTTGGCCATCTCCATGCAAGGTGCACTAAAAACATAATTCTGACTTTGAAATCCAGCCTGCCCATCACCCTCAGACAGCAGCTCCTCAGATGCAAGGTGTCCAAAATTGCCTTTCAGTGTCCTGCTGACCAGGTACCAGATTGGGATGATCGCTTGCATACTGTCAAATGGGTGGATGTGTCAAAGGGCATCACAAGTACACGTCCAGCAAAAAAGAAGGTAAGAAATAAGAAGCCAAGAACTGTTCCAACCATGCTTTGGTAGATGTTCATCAGTGGCTTAAAGAAGCTGGGAAGGCAGCACTATAGGGACCTCATTGTCACCCACTCCTTGCCTTCAGTGTATCTTCAGGACATGGCTGCTACTGCAAAAATCCTGATGTTTCTGTGCCTCTTACTACCATCTCTAAGAGCCATCCCGATTTTTGCAACCCAGGTGTGGCAGTCTTAAGTGCAGGGCCTCAGTAGGAGCTGTAGCATGGAAGGAGGGAGGGAGGGAGAGAAGAACACCCCCCCCCCCTCTACCTCCTCCTCCTTTGCTGTTGCTCCTGAATCAGCTGTCATCATTACAGCAACAGCAGCATACACTGAAAGCAGAGCCTTTGTAGGACTTAGTGACTGCTTTCACTAAGTGATTGCAATCCTTGGTGATTGCTGCTGGCCAGACTCATTTTCTCACTTGTCTTAGAGCTGTCACAAAACTAGAGATTTCTGTAACAGAACTGTGCCTGCAGTTTTGAAGATTGGCAGCAAACTTTCTGGGGTGGGTGACTCTTCTGCTTTTGGTATAGGTGATAGAGACGGATCCAGAACCTGCTCATGTGACTGTGGAAGAGGGTAGCCAGGAACTGGTCCTTCGAGTGAGTGCCAACGTTGACTTTGCCCAATATAAAATGGAGGTGGATGCCGTGCATTTCAGAGATACATTGCTCTTCCAAACAAGGGTGTTCAAGTGAGTAAGATCAGATCAAATAAAATATTATGGTCAAGAATCAGCCACCAAAATATAAGCTACCTAAGACATGTTGCAGGTGCAACATCTTCTATGGAATTAAGCCCATTTGATCAGTTGTTGACAAACTAATTGCAGCAACATGATATTTAATGTCTTTCTCAGAAATGGCAGAACTCTAATCTGACAGAAGAAAAGCTACCTAAAATTGATCCAGTTTCAGTAGAATAGGTTTTTGAGGGCCATATTCAAAGCATATGGTGCTAAGGAGTAGATTGTGAACCCATCCACAATTTATCAGTCAACATGCTCTTCCAGATAAAATGAAAGCTGTCCCATAAAATTAAAGAAGCCAAACCATTCAGGGGGAAATGTTAGCCAGTAGTTAAATAGACAAGTAAAGGCACCACCTTGACTGTGAACATAAGCAACCTCTAAACATTGTGCTGTGTACAATGTACATCAGGTGGCAGAGAGGATGGCCCTGAAGAATTTTAATTGCACCACTTCCACCAGCCATAAACTTAAGAAATATCTGCTGGAGCTCTAATGAAATAGATGTGTGCCTCTCTCTCCCGCCCCTTACTTCAGATACCTTGCTGCCCCTGCCCTCTGGAATGGTATGCCCCAGAGATAGGAATGGCCCCCCACTCTCCTGGGGTTCGTGTTCAAAGGACAGACAGACAGGCAGGCAAAAATCAAAATTGCCTTCTTATAACAAGATATTATACTGACAGCCCCATAAGGTAGACCAGACTAAGAAACCAAGGCCATACAAGTCAAGACTACTTTTATTGGAATATATAGTAACCAAATCTTGCAAGTCTGAATGTGCTTCCCCCTCCCTCGCTTTATTTTAATGTGAATTAGGGAGGGGCCTGTCTGAGACATTTTCTCAAACTAGTTTCTTGGCCCAGGCTGAAGCCCCTTTTGTCTGATTGTTGCCTTGGTAGTGGCTCTTCCTCCTGTCTTTCAAGGCCGTTCTCTATGCCCTCTACATACATGTACGAAAGATGTGGAGCCAAAATGCATTTCCCATAAATCAGTCCAGCTTAGTGGTGCTGCCCTGTAATTGTTCCATTGTAACCCACCAAATAAAATCATAGTCTATTATGGTCAACATAACCAACATAAAATAATGTGAAACAATAAGATAAGCACCACTATCATTAAAATCTATGTAAAACTACAATATAAATATAAATTATCTAGAATTAAGACTTGATGTATATTAATGTGCAACTGCTTATATGATGGATTAAAAATGATAAATATATTAAAGTTTTATTCTTACTGAAATTGAGTTTGTGATAAAATATAACAATAAAATTTAAAATGCTAAATAATCAGAGAAAATAAACAATGATACAAATGTATGGCTATAGCCCTTATCTGATCTAATTAACAAATCAAATAAAATCTTATTTATAGTCACAGTTCAAAACAGATATAAAAAAGAGTGTAATCATGACCATAAAATAATAGCAACAATCATGAAAAAGTGAGATGAATTATGGTGCTGTGGTAAAATTATATCTCCTAATTAGTCTACAACTTAACTAACTGAACATGAGTGTGACATGCTTCTCAGCCTTCTAGCCAAGATCACGTGGAGTACCTGTAACCCACCCAAAAGTAGCAGAACCCTTGGATTTGAGAAGCTTGAATTAATCAGTGGCAGGTACCTTCCTCCAGTCTCTGTTTTGCTTCCTTTAAGAGCTTTGTGTTGCCTTTTTTGAAAATGTAATTTATTAGATGGACTTCAAACCATATTATTTAATTTCCATAATGTATGAATATGATGCTCCACAACATTGTGAATTCCTCAGGGAGGGGCCAGTCTCATCCTCTTATCTTTCCCTCGCACCTCAGGAGATGAAAGAAAATGTTTTTCTC